TGTAGCTGCAATTTTGTCCGAACTGGCAACCTCACCATGCCTCATCACACTGTATGCCACTACGGTTCTTAAATCTCTCAAACCAACCTTTGCTGGCCTTAAATTCACAAATATCAGTACCTGTTGCAGGCAATTTCTTTACCAGATCATCATGCAACTGCCTAGCCTTTTCACAAATAATCAATGTCATAAGACTATCTCCTGCTAATTGTTTCTCGTTTATCCACACCAATAATAACTTCTCAACCTCTTCGAGTACTGGTGATCTCATTTTTATCAGCATATTTACCCCCTTTGCAACAACAGCTTCCTTGATTTCCTTTTTCTAGGCCATGATGGAAGATATTTTTGTATGGGATTTGTTATACATCCTGGTCAGTTCGGTCACACGTATGCCACTTTCATATTGTTCAATGATGTTTTTCTCAAATTCAATCGTATTTCTCACCTTCTTTACCAAAGGCTTAGCACTAGGAGCTTTCTTTGGAGCCAAGGTAGCTTATTTAGCACTTGCAAGCACTAAAATGAATGGAATATTATGAAATATTTCGTATGAACAAATGTGGGGACTGTCGCTCACTGGTAAACAATGGCACACTGGCTGGGAAGGGAGGCCGAGGTAGCTCAGAGCTGAGAGTACGCGTCCAGGACAAACAACGATTAGCGAGTCAACCGACCATTTGCGAGCCAATGTTTGGATGAAAATAACACAATGATTTCCGAAAAGGACGACTATCGAGCCTGACGATTATCGAGGGACCACTGTACACTGCGATAGCATGAGAATGAGAGCAGAAGTGTTCAAGAAAAAGAGAGCGGTGCAGTGGAAGAATTTGCCTCATTTGTGTACACATACTGGCTTTAGATAGTTGAGGGAGTGCCCTCTTATACCACAGTGTATTAATTTAATGTGCAGCAAATCATGGTCAACTGTATCAAAAGCTTTACGTAAATCAATGAAGATTCCCAGCAGGACTTCTTTTTTCTCAAGAATGGTGTATATTAGTTCTAGCATGTGTATAATAGCATCATATGTGCTTTTATTAGTCCTGAATCCAAACTGACAGGGGTTAAGTATGTTGTGTGAGACGAGGTAGGAATAGATCTGTCCATGAATTAATTTTTCAAAGATTTTAAAGACCAGAGGTAGGTTAGATATTGGTCTATAGTTATTCAAGTCGGTTTGGTCATCTCCTTTGTGGATCGGGGTGACCCTCGCTATTTTGAGAATTGCTGGGAAGATGGAGGATTCAATGGATTTGTTAGTGTTACAATAATTGGTGACAGTACTTGTGATGCTTTTTTGTACATAAAAGGTAGTAAGTTATTTATGTCCCCTGCCTTGTTTTTAAGGGTGCTGATGATGAGCAAGACTTCTGCTGGGTTGGTTGGGGCGAGGAATAGCATATTCGGGTAGGTACCTGTGAGATAGTCTGACGGATGGGTGTTCGAGCTTGGGATTTTGCTCGCTAGATTCTTTCCTATGGTGGAGAAGAAAACATCGAGTCTGTTTGCTGTTTCAGTTGGATGGAGTAGGGGTTCGTCTGATTTTAATTTGATTGTTTTGTTTTTGGATATCTTTTTAGTTCCTAGAATTTCAGATAGGGTTTTCCAGGTCTTTTTCATATCACCTTTTATGTTATGTAATCTGTTTTCACAATACAATTTTTTTTAATATATCCCTAATTTACAACATGAATTCCAAGGAAAAATTATTTTGTCCAAAATGTTGTGCATCTGTTGGCATCTCAGATTATTATATGTACAGCCTCTCCTCACACACTCCTTCCTACCTACCTTCCCTCCTTCCTTCCTTCTTCCTTCCTTCCTTCCTCATCTCTTCCTTCCTTATGGTTTCCTGGGCATTGCTTTCAGTCACAAACTCCTCAAAACCATGAAATTCATCTTCACTGATACTTCCATCAGTGTTAGAACTGTCACTTGGGAAAATATGAGTCCCAATTAGCTAAGGAGTGAGGAGTTTCTTACCGCAAGCCATGGTAAACAAGGCATACTGAAATGGCATTCCCACAATGCAATGCGGATGCCTCAATTTTTTCCTCCTGCGCACACTCACCACACAGATCCATTCTCTCACATGTAGGCCTATCAGCTTTCTCCTGCTCGATTTGAAGGCGCTAGAATTTATGCGTATAAGTATGTGACCAACCCCAGCTGCTATGACATACATGTATGTGACCAACCCTCAAAGGGTTAAAAGTAAGGAATACCTGTGTACTGCACAAGCCAACACCACTAAAGATGGTAGGTGGCAGGTAAATTTTGTGATAATGCATATTAAGAAAGCTGAAAATATATACAGAAAAGAACAAAGTGACAGAAGAGATGAAGTATTTTACCATGTCTATACAAGAATGTTAAGACTGGAGATCAAACTGAAAGTTTGTACCTGCAACTGGTTTATGGCAGATTATGTAAATCACAGAATACATGAAAAAGGGAAAACTGCAGGAGTGTTGAGAAGCATGTGAAAGAA